TTTATATTAATTATTAATTAATAGTTGGCCAAACTATAATTAGAATAATCTGGAAATGAATATGATTATTATAGAATATTTGGGCTTAGTTATTTATGTATAGTCATAATGATTTAAACTTGTTAATTCTAAAGATGGAACAATCTTCTAAATACTAAAAGTGATACCCAACTTCTATTTTGAACTAAATACAAAACAATACCTTAACACTGGGGTAGTTAGATCACTCTACTAACAGTTTTTCAGCTCTATTGATGAGCCCTTGTTAGGTAAATAGTGTTCGAATTTGGAACAACTTAACATGAAATATTCCTTCAAAAATTTTTAAAATGGAATTAACATCAAGAAAATGAATAAGAATACAGTTAACAAATTTTTACAATAAATTAAAAATTCCAATTATTATAATAATAAACTATCCCAAAAAATTTAATACAATAACATAACTATGTAATATTTAAGGCTGCCAACTGCCCAGTATTGATGTGCATATTACAAGATATTTTTACTCATCCCAAGTCCTTTTGTAATCATATATCTCCATGCTGTTGGAAATTGCTCTACATCTCTGGCATTAACGCATTCATTTCTAAGTTTGTGTTTAAAAATCACAATTTTTTCTTTATTCAAGGCTGTAGAAAGTGAGTGCAGTTCATTAATGATTTTAGATTTCTCCCAAATTACCAAAGTTTCTTATACTACATTTGTGATTGTTGCCAATACTGTGTTTTGTTTCCTTTTCCTTACATCATATTGGTGTTCTTTAACTCTGGTTTTTAAATTTCTCCTAGTTACCCCAACATAAGTCATTTTAGGTTAAGTTCTTCATTAACTATCAGGATCCTGTATAACTCTGCTTTAGTTTCTGGGAGTGGATCCTTGTCATTTTGAAGTATCATGCAAAGATCCACTCCCAGAAGAAACTAAAGCAGGGGTATACAGGATCCTGATAGGTTGAAAACTCCAGGAATTTTTTGGGATGTTCCTCATTGTGGGCCTGCCAAACCCATAATGGGCTTTATAAAAATGTCTTCTTAGTGCCCACAGGGTGAAAAGAATTACAGTAGAGCATTGATTATTCGAATAACAATCAATTGAAACATTGGTTAACCGAAAGTGTTCCAGTCAGCAAATTCAAATTTCTGCTAGTGCTGTGGTGTTGCAGCACTCTCCCCCTCTCTGCCAACTTAAACTGTGGGCCTAGTTTAATGTACTACATTATGTAAGATATGTATTTGTAAGACATGTGATACAAATTACATACAGTACAGTTTTGCGTTAATATATTTTTCGTAAATGATCAGTTATCTGAACAACCCCAGTCCCGAATTGTTTCGGATAATTGATGCTCTACTGTACCTAAAAAATTATAAGTGAGGATTTACTGTATATAGGAAATCTTCATTAGTTTGAAATTCAAGGGACAAAATAATCACAACTTAAAATTATTTCAAATGAGTTTCAAATTATCTAAGATTTACATATTTGTTTTTGATATGCAAAATGCCACTTAACAGTTAGTACTGTATTTCCTTACCCCAACATAAGTCATTTTAGGTTAAGTTTTTCATTAACTATAAATATCAAAGAATTCAAGACTAGATATGGAAACCTTAGGGGCAGGCAGTCCCAATATAAGAGCTTCCTATGCAAACTGGAAAACATGTTATTTCAATTCAAAACTTTTCTCCTGAAAGCAGTTAATAGATGACAGGCACAACTCTATTGTTAAAGGAAAAGTGTGATGTACAGGGGGAAGCCACTACTAATTTGAGATGGAGAGTGTATATTTTAAAATAACTAAATTAAAAATATGATTAAAAGTTGCAGCCTGGCATTGTGATTATGTCACAATAAATAATTGCTCGTTTATGTTGGTGTTTCACAGTTTTTCATAAAAGTATTGTCATGCATATGAGATTCTTTTTCTCTCATTAAAGTTAATACAATTGCCATTCAGGTTGGCTTTGTATATTTCTAAGTCTTCTTGAGTTCTGATGTGGTCAGTTTGGAAGCATTATTTGATTACCATTGCATTCTGGAGGTTGGCTTGCATGCCGGTCTCAGTGGCATAAATGGATCCAATACAGATATTGTTTAAGATTGAAAATGTTCGTAAATTTTTACATTAAAATTGGTTACTGGGTGTTAAAGGTTTAGTTGATTGTGCTTAATCATTAAGTTAGCTGTCATAAATTGAATTTTGATTTCTCATAAGTTCATTATCATAAATTGAAGTTTTATCTCTGGATATAGTCTTAATTATATGGTCTGTACTGAGATGATTAATGAATCAAAAAATTTGGCATTTATGGATTACACAGAGCTCCTGGAATTTATAGCATACCTTTAAAGGATGATAGATTTGACAAGAATTTAATTTACACAAGAGGCACAAATATGATAGTGAAAGAGAGAAACAAACAACAATGCTATCAATATATGCCTCAAAAGTGCAGGAATTGAAGCTAAATTGGAGCAAGCAGCATTGATTATAAAGTTTTTTATTAGAGAAGAAAGTAAATTTTTAGAAATGTTAGAGATATTTAAAACAGCCTTGAACAGAGAATGCATTAATATACAAGATGCAGATTCATTATCATGTGCTTGGAAAGCTTTTTATGATAACCTTGAAAAAAGATTATTATAATAACTCAATTAAACTATGGGGTGTTAATATAAAATTATATAGAATACATTAGTTGTAAAGTTTAATTTTGTAAATTTCAAAAATAATTGAAATTTGAATACAGTTCAAATATAGAATGCTATTGAATGAGAATTTTAAATGGAACACATGAGTGACCTGAAGCAGGATAGTTAAGCTATTTGAAAATGCTTATTGTTTTAAACTAATACTTGAATTAAGCAAAAATGTAGTTAACATTTACATTATTCCAGTTTGAATTTCTTTCTCTTTAATTGTTACAAGTATGGCACATGCAATCATAAAACTCTGGCATGACTGGCACATTGATAATTCTTCAGCTTTTTCAACATGGCAGTGTAAGTTTCTGAGTGGTTGATCCTTTGGGCATCCATCAAAATGACATTGTGAATGTTCCAAAACACAGTGACCATAATCTTTCCTGCTGATGGAACAATTTTGTCTTTTTCTTCTGTAATAAATGGGGATGGTGCCATTCCAGTGACTGTTGCTTTGTTTCAGGTTTAATGGTATGCCTATGTTTTGAAGAACTCATTGCCTCTAGACTCATAGTGCTGCAACAGTTCTGATGCAGTGGTTTTCTTTGCTGCTTTTTGGTCAGTTGTGAGCTGCCTGGGGACCCATCAAGAACCACTTTGGCATATCCAAATTCACAGATGATTGGTGAGCACTTCCATGCACTAATGCACAAGCATTCTTCCAGCTGGTGGACTTTGTAATGCACTGTTACTTCCAAATCATTTCATTCCTGGATGCCATGACAGCTGTGGTGGGATGATAGCTCTGCACCAATTCATGATCTGCTATGCCATTCCTGTTATTCTTGATCTCACTCATTTTGCCAAACAGTTGATGCACTGAAGTACTATAGATAGCACATAATCACTTGTAAATGTTTCCAATAGTTTCTCCCTCAGCAATTCTATTACTGCACACTACCTCACTGACACTCACCATTTTTCAATGTAGCTGCGGTGTCTTGCCTGGCAACAGAACATAAAATTTTGCACAATGCAAGTGAAATCTTCCAGATACAATGCCTTAAAAGTGGAGTCATGTTACAATCTTTATTTTCCAGATATATATGTGAGAATCGGGGTTTTAGCATCAAAGCGTAAACCGTTTTCCGACAACGGGGCGGTGAGTCCCGCTCACAGGGTCAGTGGATGGCAATTTAGGAGGGCGAAAATCGAGTGGGAGGTCGCGGATAAGTCTATAAGGTGTTGACCGAGTACGAGTAAACACACATATTTAAGATAACATATATATATATATATTTTTAATTAACTAATGATATATATGAAAAGGTTATAATAATTAAAAATACTACTAATCTCTAACCGAGGTTACAATAGGCGGTTTTCCGGCATACATCTCGCATATTTACGATAGAGGATATTCTTTGATCCTTCTTAAAATCTATTTAGGAATTAGCCCTAGTCCACCTGAGAGAAGGGAGAGAGTTCTACTTACTAAGTTGTAGCTCGTAGAATCTAACCGTGTTGTCCGTCTTTAGCGGTCAGCGATGAGGATCGTCAATCCGTTATTTCCTTCTAAGTTGGAGGCCACCCCGATACTGGCCGGGAGCCCTCTTTATACTGATTTCGAGGGGGTGAGAACTATGACGTTATTCATGATTTATCCGCACACCTGCTAGTGTGTTGATATTTGGATCTAGCTAGTTCGGACAAATGACTCAGCGAAGTTTGTTTAATTTATTGTTATTGGTGTCAAAATGATATGATTTTATGATATAAATTCCTATAGGTTTGATGGCTCTCATCCATAAATTAACAATCATTTGACAATAATTTCTTTAACCTGGTCAACTATTTAGTTATTGTTTATATCAAACGTCGTGTTTGACTATGAACAAGGCGATTTGTTACCGTAACCACGTGTTACGTGCAACCAAGAGGTGATAAGAAATATCTCTTATTCCCTTCTTGTTGATACTACATCTATAGAATAACTGTTAAACAAATAGAGAAGTTTTCGTTTATTGATAATTTAACATTTTCCTTTTTTTTCTAATTCGAGGAGAGCGTCTCGGTCATTGACCGCAGAAGTCCCCCTTTTCTCTTTTACTAGGAAAATTCCTAGATTTGTACTGATCTAAAACAGAAAAAGGTGTCGGACCTTCACATATATTATGGCACATTTGAACAATTCTTAGGATTCTAAATACTTTTTCTCATACATATCTTAGAGCACAAAATATTTAATAATTTAGATAAAATTGTAATATGGTTGAATACAAAATGATTTTATAATATTGTAAATATGCATTTAATATTAATGTTTTAATGTATATTGCAAATTTTATTTGTAGGAACATCACTTACAGAGAGCAATCTCAGCTCAACAAGCCTTTGGACATACTGGTGAATTGGTAATACCTACACCAGAAGTCTTTGCAACACCACCTGACATTTATGAAGAAATGTATCCAGCGAATTACAAAGTTCCTCGTCAGCTTATACACGTACAGCGTATGTATTTTAAGAACTAATTTTTATGTGGATTATTATTAAAATATATGTAAGAAGAAAATGTTTTGTTTATTCTAGTTTTGTAATAAAACAAAATATTGCTAATTAATTGTCAAAATAGTGTTTTCATATAAATCAGTTTATTTATTACCTCTTTAGTTGTAGCTGGAAAACATTTTTAAGTCATTTTAATTTTTTGCATATGAAAAGCTTTATTGTAACAAAAAATTATTCCATATGTAAGAAACCAGAAAAATTAAAGAAATCTTTGGAGAAATTGGTAATTGGAAAATTTTTGATACTATAAATTGTATTCTAAATATTTGATTTTAAAAAAATTATTAAAAGATGTAAGGATTAAAAATTTCAAATATGAACTGAGACAACGAACAGTCTCCAGAAAATTACACATCTATAGAAATCAGCCTATACTATATCAAATCAATAATAGTACTTAATAATAGTACAATAATTACAGTTACTCTTAATATGAAGCTAAAAATAGCAATATTTTCCAGATATAATCATTCACTTTTATTACCATATAAAAGGAGTTTCTGGATATGTTACTGTGATTGATTTTGTAAAGTTCGAAATATTGTTGGAGGCTCTATCATAGATCATAGCATTTACTGAAGAGGGATCAGAGAGCATTCAGATTCAAAATGCATTTAAATAAAATATCTGAGAATTAAATTGTCTTCTGAGTAATTCTTGAACTAGGGCGAACATTGGATTTGAAGGACAATATTTCACTTTATTTGTCCGAAAAACCTCTTTTAAGTGGTTATAAAAGTAAAGTTACTCTATAAAATAAAAGTTATTTTATAGAATAACTATTATATATTGTTGATCAATTTTGAAATTCAATTTTTTACATACACTGTTGGAATTATTTCTGCAAATTTAAAATGTTGCTTTGGAAGCACTTTACCAGTTTAGTTTAGCTTTGTGCATTATACTATCAGTTAGGTAATTGTTTACATTATTGTAAGAATATTTTATTTATAACAATTTTTCAAGCCATGTGCAGTCATCTTTTATTACAAAAATGAAATTATACAATAATTAAATATTGTGAACAGAGATGTGAATCTCCTTGCTTTTGATAAATATTTTTAAATATGTTAAATTTAATTAGATATGAAGCATTTATAATTATAACTGATTGTCAGTGTAAAATTTTGAAAAAAATGAATTAATATTTAAGACAAAAAAGTAAAGAATTTTAATGGAAAATTTAATGTAGACATGAATAAATGGAAAGGTACAGTACATACCTTTCCATTTATTCATATCTACATTAAATTTTCTATCCAATGATTAGTTATTGGTTAATAATTTAGTTGATCTTCATGAATAGTATATTAATATACCATTAAATTTATTTATACTTATCTTCACTAACCAAGAATATTTTTAATATAATTTAACAAAAATAATAATACACTTTTCTGTTATTTTCAGTTAATTTAACTCAAATATAAGAGACCCTTGAATCTATTACAACCTAATTTCTACATGCTAATCAATCGATTAAAAAAATTTTTTTTTTTAAGTAGACAGTTCAAGACAAATTTATGTAAACAGAATTCATATTTATTATTACATAGTAAAGTAAGTCATATATCTCAAATATCCAAGCTGGAATAGCAGTGTACACTTTAATATTACAATGATGGAATGTAAACAAGTTTACAACAGAGATTTAAGTGCACTACAAAATAAAGTTATCAAATTAATCAGAACATGTCTCACCAAAATTTTGCACTTGAACCATTTGGTTATACATTTACCAAACACCCTGAGGCTGTCTTTCCGAAGACACCAAACTTGACACCAAACCAAGTTTGGTGTCTTGGGAAAGACAGGCTTGAAAGAACACAAACTTGGTTTGGTGTCTTGGGGAAGACATTTAAGGTCTATTGCAGATAATGTTAGATCACCAACAATAGCAATTGAGAGACAATAAGATCTTTATTGAAAATCTTGGAAATTACAAGTACACAATCAAGGATTCACAAACATTATTAGACAAATTAAAAAATATTGCTTTGACAGATGATGAACATATCACAGTACTGAATTTAACATCCATGTACAAATTAATTAGATTAGACCCCTGTTTTTGTGCCATTCCTTCTGCATATCTATACCATCAACATACATTAGAATTGACACATACACAGTATTCTTTTAAGTTCTACAATCAAACTTGTATGCAGTGACAAGGTGTCCCCATGGAAAGTCCTCTCAGGACTTATGTGAGATAGTTGTTAGGGTCTTAGAAGATAGAGTATTGTCAGAGTCTATGTTAATATTACCCTATACACCTACTACATAGATGACTAGCAGACCCTGCCACGCATTGTTGTGGCTCAAAATGTATCTATTATAAATGTATAACACTTCCCCAGTGGCGGGGAAATTTTTCAAAAAATCCCTTCTTAGTATACATTCTCTTGATGTACCCTATTAAAACGCAATCAAAAACACAAAAAACCGCATCTAAAATAGTATAAATAGAAGCAGAGTTCTTTATGGTAGGCCTTAATCCTGTCCATCTCCCCCCCCCAGTGGGGGAAATTTCGACATGTATGTTATATAAAAACACGTGCGTTTTGAATGCAGCGTTGTGTCAAAATTTCAAAGGAATCGGTAGGAACAAACGAACATTACATTTTTATTTATATAGCTAGATAGAAGATGATCTACTTTACTTTATCCTCACAGAAAAGCAAGCTTAGGTTGTTGTACTCATAGTGCCATCTGTTGGACATAAAAGCCTTAACCCTAGATGATATCTTTTAATTTATATGAATGTTAATGGAATAATAAACAGCCTATGTCCACCCTGAAGTTCCATTCTAAATATTGGTGAAAGAATTTTTGAAATCGGATGAGTAGTTTCGGAGATTATTCACTACATTCAAACTTACAAACATTACCTTTTTATTATAATAGTATAGATATGCCAGTCATTTGGAAATTAAGCCAGATATATTTAAACCAGTACATGCATTTAACAACCACCCATATAGTTTCACTTTGGAATTGGACCAATATTGCAACACCACTGTTCACTTTCTACACATCATCTCTCTCAAAAATGTGCAATTGGACACAAAGGTATTTGTAAAAAAATATCTTAATCTTTATATTGTATTATTATTTTTTGATAGATCATATGCTGTGAAAAAAATTGAAATTAAGTAGCATATGAGCCACTCAAAAAGCAAATGATTTTTTCAATATGTGATTGCATCAATTGATTGGTTTTAGAAACTAGCATGAAATATGAGGGCAATCTGCAATCAAGAAATGTGTCTTTCAGGAGATATTTTAAGGAAAACTGGCCACATTCATGGCAATTCTGGCTCTTAATAACATAAACAAAATCCAGTAAACTTCACAAGCCAGCCCATCAGCCCAAGTGCAAACTCAAGCCAACTACCAGTGTTTTGGATCAAATCCGCTTAACAAATGGTGCAGCTACATAGCTGTGTAGGATGGAGATCAATGCATTGGTGGATCCTATGTAGAAAATTTTTTGCAGAAGTCTTGACAGGGATTAATGGTGGCAATCTGAAACACTGTCACTCAGTTATCAGACTGGCTTAGAGTGTTTAAGAAAAAAAGTCTTTGAAATTGATTTGTGACAATTTCATCATGCTACTGAAGAACAAGCACAAAGTGCAGAGACATTAATAAAAAGCTTATGGTATCACTTCAAAGTGCCAAGGTTATCTTACCAAAGCAAAATGCCCAATAAAAAATTTGATTTTCATTTAAGGTGCCATAATTTTTATTGGCACAATATTTTTTACATTTCAGATGCTTTTGGATATCAATTGTTTGTTGACTAATTAATTTTTCCACTTCTTTTTTTTGTTGTTTGCAAGTTATTTATGACTATTTATTATTGCCTATATAACATAATTTGAAACAATGAAGAAATAAAACCAAGATAATACTAGATATACACACTGTCAGATGACATCAAAATCTTTTTCATAACACAAATACTTCAATTACTTTCAACAATATAAAATCATTGTCATCAGGTTAGTGAACATCTTGACTTTAGGATAGAGCATCACTTTGTGTAGTATAACATTCTCAACATTTTAAACTCAAAATGAAATTCAAGACTAATTATGAAAAAGAATGCAATTATGAGAAAGAATGAAAATTTGAAACAAAAGACCCAACAGAACTTTAAAAACATTTTTATGGCATGAGTCCATGGTTATATCAAGGACAACTAGGATAGTGTGATATTATGGATGAAAAATTTAAAAAGTATGATCCACAAGTTAGGAAGCTCTAGTGTGGGTATATTGCACAAGCACAAGGTGGAAGTGAAGAGGGTTTCCCGAATAAATAATGCCCTATGATCAGCACACCCTTTAGGAAAGGGTGGTTTTTGTCTACAAAGGGTTGAAATTGGACTCTGTGACTTTCTGGTCAGCTCTGTGGATCATCTACATTTTGTGATATTCTGTTGGTGCTCTGCTAAATGATTGATTCTGGCCATGGCACCAATGTACCATGTATTGCCCCCAATTGTTGGGTGCAAAAGGTATACAGCATAAACCCCAGATTTCTCAAGAAGGGAATCTCCTAACTTGTAGATTGCAATTTTAAAATTTTTAATCAGTACACCACACTACTCTAGTTTTCCTGTGGGATAACACATCATGGACTGATGCCATAAAAATGTTTTAAGAGTTCCATTGGGCCTTTGTTTCAAATTTTTGTTCTTTTTCATAATTGCAAGTCTTGAATTCCATTTGAATTTTAAATGTTGAGAATGTTATACTGCACATAGTGACTTTCTGTTTCAAATTCAAGATGTTTACTAGCCTGATGACAACAATTTTGTTTCATTGAAGGTACTTGCATTATAAAAATATTTTAATGCCATCTGATAGTGTGTGTATCTTGTATACAGTAGAGTCCCGTACAACGCGGGAGATTTGTTACGCATTATAGGAAAT